GCAATATCAGCCTTGCCTTGGCCTAAGGCTCAGAATGGTGCTTAGCTCTGACTGGATAGCAAAAAAAAAAGGAGCCAGAAAAGTGGGTGCCAAGTGGGCACAACCCTCTGACATTTGATAAGAGACAAGTGCTTTCCCCCACATTTGAATTAACGTCTGCGCCCTAACACCAAGGGGCAAATAATCTGTCGTTCATGAGGACACTGCCAGGGGGGACTGTAAACATTCTTTCGCATTCATTTAATGTTTTGAAAACTGCCAAATGCCAAGTACAATCTATTATTATGACAATTAGCAGGGGTAGTACGGGTTGTTTGTATAATGATATCATTTACAGGGTATCAATCACAGAATATTCATAACTTTCCATGGGCATCTCTTCCTACCACTCTGTTGTTTAGAGATGTCTATCACTGAGTCGGTGCACCTGGCTGCTGAGCCAGGGACTGGGAGTCTCATGCCCTGGCGTTCCTCCTGAAAAACGAGCCAGCCTGTGTGGCCTTGGGCGAGCTGCGCCACCCTTAGAACACCCCTAGAAGAAGGGAATGGGAAACCTCTGCTGAATACTCTGTGCTTAGAAAGCCCCACAAAAGGTGGACATCAGTTGGAGCTGACTTGAGGAACACAGTTATTACATTCTTTTAACTGTTCTCTCTAACACGCTTGCTATTTCTACATGTTTTTGGACTCCAACTCCAAGAAGCTCTAAACAAAATGTGAATACTCAGGGATTCTGGGAGGTACCGTCCATCAAGACAAAGAGGCATTTTATCCCCTTATCTGTTCCATCCATGCACAGAACAAATCGTATAGAAAGCCAGACTAGATTCAGATGGAGGAGGAGTGAAAAATGGTGGAAGAAACATCCGTAATTTCAAATATGCGAATCGCAATGACTTCAAATGACTTTCAGTGAAAATGAAAGAAGAATACAGTGGTGCCTCATTTAACGAGTGCCCCGGTTAACGATGAATCTGCATAGCGATGGCAAAAAAGCAATCTCTTTTGCCATCGCTTTGCGATGTTGCCTATGGGGAAAAATCGCTTTGCGATGTTTTCCCCATAGGCCCCATTTTCCCCCAGCTGAGTGGCGGGAGCCTCCAAAGGACCGCTCCCGCTGCTCAGCTGGGGGAAAATGCCGGTGGTAGCCTCGGAAGGACCCTTCCGAAGGATCGTTCCAAGGCCACCGCCGGGATTCCCCTTTGGAGGGGGCATTTTCCCCAAGCGGGAGCCCCGCTGCTCAGCTGGGGGAAAATGCCGGCAGTAGCCTCAGAAGGACTTCCCCCCCACCGGGAGGCTTCTCCGAAAGTGCTGCGCCCGATGGTGGGGGGGAAAGATCGGATCGGCTTCAGCCTTCCTTCTCCACAGCCCGGCTCCTCCCAAAGGGCTGCCCCAATTGTGCTTACAGCAGCAGAAGAGGTGCCTGGTGGGGAAGAAGGCAGGAGCCAATCTGTCATTTCTCCTCCACTGGGCACCTCTTCCGCTGCTGTAAGCACCATCGGGCCAGC